TGAGTGGGCAGTGATCAACGTAAGGGATCGAAGCCTTGACAGCGTATGGTAGATTATATTCTATTTAGGTATAAGGGCTTGAAAAAACACTGAAACGATCAACTAACGATGCAGAAATACAATAGAAATTGAAAGACATCAAGAGGCCTTCAATTCCAGCCGATTTAGTAGCAAGAGACTCGACAACAAGCCCGGACAATGGCAATGAAACTACTGCTCATATTAAATTCCGATAAAAGCATAATAAAATAACCCTTCTATATTAACCAAAATTTGTTATCGACTGGCAAAATAATTGAAGATCTGAAAAACGCCTGGAAAACGATGTGGTGAAAGGGATAGAGAAAAATAACACTCCTTGAGTTATTTTAATGAGGAAGGCATATTGAATCTGGAGAAGTAATGATCACACATTTGCATATTGATGCCACCATTCCTATAGACGAGAACATATGTCGTATGAAGCAAGTTAACGGGTCAGATAAGACATTGTAAACTAACGTCATTTCATGTAGTCATGCAAGTGATAATTTTCGTCAACACGACCTGCAACGATATGTTAAGGTTCTAGAGGAGAGCGTTATGAGGTAGAGGAAACGGATCTAAACAACAAGAAACTTTCTTTTGCGATGTTATATTTAAACTGATGTAAATAATTTTCAGCCTTTTTGATCACCTACTAAGCTGAAAGTTACCTGTTGAGTTTTAAGGAAAATATGCCTCGACGGTACTCATGATAGCCACGATGGCTTGAACAGCCATGATAGCTAGAATATAAACGACAAAAAACAATTCTTTCGTATATGATGTACTCACAAGTCCTACATCCAGTGAAGTTGGGAGGACCGGACAACGTCCAGTGCAAGGGGCGTAGTATTGTGGAGTGTACTCTCCCAAGAAACAACGATTGCCTTGAAGGCCTGTCGCGAATCCTGAAGTGAACGACTAACGAGGCTATGTTGAGGTTGTTTCAAGCCAATCACAAATACAGCGGATATATCGCTGATTGCAGAAGCCTAGCATAATTTCTCATATGGATCGGATTTAACTGGCAACAGACCCGGAAATTTCACTGACTATGAGCATATGAGTCTCGAAAAACTACAAGACGGGAAAAATAATTTTTAGTGTTAAAATTTGGACAGAGTTTACTACGTTGAAGGTGAGAACATTAAACAGACCTGGGTAGAATACAGGAGTTGCAGAAGAACTAAGTTGTATTGGAATGCCGGTGGTTGCAATCACTGGCTTGGAAAAACATTGTGACTGCTGGAAAATACACAGGGAATAAAACAGAAGGTGAACCTCAAAGAGATTGTGTTGCAGTGAGTGAAAATGCCGAAGAAGCCATTGTAAACTAGGGGATGATATCGATCGATATAAATATGGTAAGGTTCAAGGATAAATGCAAAGGACTTGGCCTTACTGCAGTTGGTTATTGCCTCTATCGAAGCTGCGGCAATTGCAGTGAAGGACGAAATTTATGCCATGCTGTGTCTCCTGCTGCAACCGCGCCGAATCTAGTATATCTGGACCGTTCTGGTGGGTTTCAGTGCGAATGTTGGAACAGAGGATGAGCTGCATAGCTGTCTCGGATCACAAGACATTGTCACAATGAATAATAACGGTGAACTGCCAGCAGAATCATGTCAAATGCATGATATAATTGTTGGTGCCCTCGGTTTCCATAAAACTCTGGGCATAAATCAAATGGCACGTTGCTCATACATAAGTGGGAAACAAAAGTGGTCATGTTCTCATTATCAGAAATGATCGAGCATGTCTAGAAGATGGTGGGGTGGGCAAAAGTGTTGAATGCGGCAGCGACGATCGGTTAGTGATGCTTAAAGTTAAGGTCTATCTTCGGTTCGATCCTTGATTAACAGCCAATAGTTGACTGCAAAGTTTAAATCGACAGCTACAATTGTTGAGAAGCATGCCAAGCATATTTGATGACGAGCAGTTGAAGATTCTAACCTGTTATTAATTATGCAATTAACGGGCCGGTAGAAAAAGTTTCAAGCATATATAAGGAAACGGTTGTAACAAAGGCAGAAGTGCAATTTTCCATAAAATTATGAATGAAGCCCAGCGTAAGTTCGGAAACCTAAAGGTTGCAAAAATAAGGCAGGCTTGCCAAGACGGATATGAGACAAAGTTTCAGCAGTGAAGTACAGAATGAAATTAAGACAATGGTTTAGGCTTTCATTAGCCTGTACAACGTAATTGCTATCAGCAATATAGACTCTCCTTAAATACAATGAACAAATATAAGTGAAAGAAAAAGTGGCTTAAGCCTGGACATTAAAACTATTTAAAATGAGAGCTTCCTGTCCTTCCGGGTATCTCATGACTCTTGAAAGAAACGGCAGGATTGAGCACCAGCACAGTTCATTTCTTGCGGCTATGGCTTTGTAGCCATTCCTAGTTCCCCAGAGGAAGAAGAGATTGAGCTCAGCTCTGCAAAATTTAGTACGCTGGCTTGAATGCCATCTGCTTCAGGTGCACGTTGGTATGGAGGGCGCCGAAATAGAGGTCCATATGTGCTTTGCTAAGGATTCGTTCGAGTCTGCTAGTTGGCCATCTTCTTTACCTACCACAAGAAGTCCTTGTAGGAGAGTTTAACATCCTGCAATCGAGCCTCAAGCTGGAGAAGATACTCGTTATAGTCGTCAAGATTGTCAGGCAGTTGAGCGACCGATTTCTTCATAACCGCTGTATTGGCGAACAGACGGCTGACCGAAGCACTATTTTGTTCTTACACATGACGAAATTTCCTAGACGAGGTCGATGCAGAGTTTGCGTCTTCTTTCGGATCTGCGTACTGAGGAAGTTGCAAGATGTTCTGCCTTCCAGACGGTAGGTCTTTTCACGAAATCGACGCAGTCTTGTTATTAATCAGATGGTCAAGTATTTCTGAGCGTCTTGAACCTAATGAAACGGGCAACAGGTACTACACGCATGTTAAAGTTAATGCTTTAGCTGAGGGTATCTGCCAGACCGTTCTAGGTCAAGTGTTCAACTATAGACCAGTCGTAGTAGCGAAAGTATCCTGTATATGTTCCACTTCCTAATGACAGACCAGCTGACGTCGACAGAGGTGTGGTTTCGAGATGGCACATCGTTGACCCAACTTACTGTAAATTAAGGGGTGAGGCTCATGATTCAATAGTCAGAGCCTCCTGGTGGCGTGTTTTGTTTCACCCCAACATCGTGGTCTTACACGACAGTTGCACTGAAAATTTAACAATGTTCGTCACCCCCAGTGAAGTGACGAAGGACGGTGCGTCATTGAGCTTAAATCGTCCGCAGCCTAATGAGAATGGCAGGTCACAGATGGACCGACGGGCTGCCGATAAAAATGTCAATAGCTGAGTTTAACTTCGTGCGAAAGTCTGAGAGAGCAATGTAAACATTCGACAGAACCACATAGGCAACACCAAGCAAAAAAGGTGTGTTGCCTTTAGAAATCAAACACCAAACATTCGTTGCTGAGAACCTGAGCAACACAGACAGTTGTGGACTCCAGCCGCAGTGGATCCAGATGGCAACTCCTCCATCTTGATGTCAGAGCATCGATCTGACAGATAGGCTGTGTAGAAATTGTCACTTGCCCATCGCACTCATCGTCACTTCTTGCTCATCATACTCATCGTCATTTGCGTATTCGTGTTTAGCATGGAGTCATCTGTATATTCATCAAATCACGTTTCCAGGATGAGAACAACGTAAGGGCTACACTTGTCACTTCCATCAGACTTGCCCAGTCATCTATTAACTGCGGAACGAGCAATGCTGGGCAACAAGTAAGATATTTCATGTTTCCTGGGATAGCAGCTTTTACAGCCTTTTGCCTGACAACTGTTAACTAAGATATCGCCACTGTCAGTTAAGCAGACGTAGGTTTTCAACGTCTTGTTTCGTTCAGAACTGCTTCGCGGCTGGTGAACGACTAATTGCACACATTTAATCATTAATTTAACTTTAAAACTTATTAAGAACAAATAAGTGCTTTTCTGGAAAACGGATGATGAAATATGGAAGATGCAACTTGAAAAACGATATTGAAGACCAGCTTGTGTAGGCAAGTCATTTACTACCTAAACAGAATGAAACCCAGCATAATATCCGCAATGAAAGCAGATAAAGAAGAGGATAACCTCATGCCTGGTCAGTTCTTTGAGGTATGAGGCAACCACCTTAAATCGCTACCAAACCCTGTTGTGATTGTGAAACAAAATTCATTTATGGCATTATGTCTGGACAAAAGATGGATGCTGATATTTGAACGTCATCCTTTTAATAAGTAATTGAAGCCGTAATCCAACTGAAAAATAGCAGAGCTGGGGGGGGGGGATTGATGAAATACAACCAGAGTTAATTGAGAATCCTGGAATGAACGGAGTGCTGGCATTAATGAATTTCTTTGGATTGGCATGAGAGAAAAGGGAGATCCACGAAAAGGAAGATTTATGAAAAATTTTATGGTCCCAGTATTCAAGGAAAGATGTTGCGTCGTTCCAAATAGCCCCCGTGATTTGGTTTACAGAATGCTTGCACAAGCTGATACAAACTGGACCAATCCTACTCAGGTAATAGGGAAAGGTATCCTCGCCGTCTGCGTATAGAAACCTGCGGGATTGTTCAAGCAATCTAAGACACCGTGGCGTTTGTGCACTTGCGGTGCGTGAGTATCACAGAGTTGGCTCTAACAGCACACACGTTCATCGCATCACCGCGGGTTCATGTTTCGAGTAGCATACGTGGCCGAGGCACCAACGCCGATGTGTTTCAAACCCAGAACATCATAGAAGGCATGACTTGAGGTGAAAATCAACTATTGTTAGATTAATACTCATTATGCTATAAGTAGTGAACCAAAGAAGTCATTTACCAAAGTATATTCTGGGTATATGCAAAGAAACACATCCTGAACGGAACCTAATTGCGTGGGTACAGAAACAGTCAGTCATCGTGAAAGCCAGTGAAATTGAAAATGCTTACGTACACGTTGCAGAGCTGGCTCCACTGTCAAGCCTGCTTGGTCTCCATTGCGGAGAGTCGCAAATGTCGGGGACCAAGCCAGAGCTGGAACTGCTGCTGCCATGGCTGTAAGATTTGACGCAACGGGAGTTCCTCTGGATCCAAGCGTTTGCGCGAATGCCGTCATCGGATGACAATCGGGGGTGATATGCACAGGAACATGGACAGCTCAGCCCTCTAGAGCTTTTCTCTGGTAAGGCTAAAACAGCCCAATCAGCCTCAACTACGTTATCGAAGCGAATGCATACAGCGGTTGTCTGAGGTAATTCCGCGAGTGACCAACAAGCCATTCAACCAACTGTGGTTGTCGTCTAAATCCTCTGAACTTTGCGCATAAAAACTGAATTTACGGCAAAGGTCGCCTGAGTCTGTCGAGTTACGAGTGCTGGTTCCGGAACACGTGCTTGGCACATAAGGGATTTCAGTAGTCTACAGTATTAAAATTTCAGACATGTAACTAGATATTATTATTCATGTCCATACCTTGTTCGTTAAGCAGTGCAGTAGTGCTTCTTCCACGTTTGACGAACATGCGGATGTCACAGAAGCAGAAAGTTGGGGTGAATATGGAAGGGGTAAACTTTTGGTTTTGTAGATAGCCGCGTTGCGACAAAGGCTATCGTTATAAATGCCGGCTCTTGGGCTGTCGGCCAGGTGACGACTGAGAATTATCCGCAGACTGCGTCCCGGGTGAGCTTGATCAAGAAGTTCAATAGCCTTGTCGAGATCGGCTTGACTTTTGATGATCACGATGAACTTGATGAGCAAAACATCAGAAACCGTCAATAAAGACATAAATAACTTTTACCTCATTATTCGCCAACGTATAGTACATGGTCATCTGCTCTCCGTACATCTCTTTCAGCTTGGCACACAGCAATTTATAATCCACTGGTCTCTCTAGGAGCAGACTCCGTTTCTTGCCGGTATAGAGTAGCTTTATCCTGACAACGTTCTACATGAAAAAAATCATACACGCAATAGCAGCCGTTTTAAATAAAAGAACAATAATAAATTCACTAGTAGCCACGTCAAAAAAGGGCTATTATCATATTATTTCACATAACAGTGCTGCTTTGTGAATTGAGCACATAGAGCCCCTTACTGAAACCGAGAGGTATCTAAATTCCAGAACATCTAATCAGATCATCGAATTTACATATCCATATTTTCAACAAAGCAATGGCT